GAACGTTTTATAATTCGAGCCGGCTACTAGTAGTATTTCTCGAACTGTGATGTGTTGTTGATGAAGTTCAGGGAAGATCGTGCTTTATGGCTGCGTTAGGCCTGTCTAGTCTCACTGGCCAGGAGGAGGTACCGGTCCAGGATTATACAAAATAACGCGTGGAATCTGTCAAGGATTGGGAACAAGAAAATGGACTTCCCCAAATATCCTCTTTCGCTATGAAACGTTACTTCCTGCACCGTCATGGGAACACATTAATTCTGAATTGTTCAGATTGGTACTACTTGTTGCTCGAGTGTCTATTGTTGAAAACCGGGATAATCGGTAGGCTTCAATTCATGGAGGTAATGCTATGATTGGTGGTATGTTCATACGGGAAATTGTGATGGACTTCAGATCCCCATACGTGAAGTCATCAAACACTCAAGCCCTGTACACCTAAATGTGTCACCTTTTCTGGTGGGTGGCAACGGAGAGATTTTCGTGTCCCATCAGAATTATCAGGCTATAAGGGAGCACCTCCACAAATACATGTCTAACGGATGAAGTCTAGCTCTCACAAACGGGCCTGACAGTTCTGGAGGTATGATATGAAGCTCAACATTCGAAGAATTGGTCAAAATCAGAGTGAAAACCATGAGAGACTTCTGCCTCCCGAATATGCACCGACACACGCCCTGGCTTACCGTCAGATGGATCCCTCCACTGGTATACTTCGAAGACTGTTCGTGTTAGTCCTAGCGTTAGTAAAGCCCGGCCTTCCCCTCTGCATTTTTTAAGCACTTCTTTCAACACCTTCACTTTCCTTGATCACTCATAAATCCCCAGTACCGGCTGTACTCCTTCTCGAAAGTTATCGATGAAGGCAAACAATAAAGTTCTGGACAAATGATTTTTAAAGTTAATGAAAAATGAAAAACAAATCTACAAAGAAGAAGAGCTCACGAATCGGCGTTATCGAAGGAGGAGTGCGGTTGCAGTTATTACGGCGGAGAAAAGCTTAGGTGTTTATATGGCTGTCCAGAGAAAAGTCAAGATGGGGAAGATCAACAGCTCTTGATTGAGAGTCTGTTTCAATGATATAGGTTAAGTCTCAAAAGTTGCGCAAGAATTTTGTGGATTTCTAAATAAGCATCAACCAGTTGTGATAAAGAACGTTGGATTTATTTCTAGCCTCACATACCTCGGCTTAGTTGAGCAGCGTCTATTCTCTTGTTCTCTGTAAGAATGTCTAACGAAGGGACGTCTTCCGATAAAGAAGTTTTGCCGGACCGGAATGGAGCAGAAGAAACTAGTGAGTCTCGTTTTATATCTTGCTTCGACTTTATCGGGTACCTTTGACTTTACTAATGTTCAGACGAGGACTTAGTGGTCAATGATTCCGAAAACGCTAGGGAGACTTCAGCGAATGGAACTGGCCTGTCGAAAAGTGCGTTGAAGAAGTTGAAAAATCGGGAGAAGTAGGTCAATTATGCGATTGCAAAGCCATAGAGCTTCAAGGGCTCCTTTCTAGAAATATCCTTTTTGAACTTAAAGCTCATCCTAGTACGCGAACATGTACCGACAATACGATGTCTCTGAATCATTGGCTAACAGACAGCTATGGGTTGAGCCTCCCTATAGGCTTTTTTGACTGGAAGTGACTTACATCAAGCCATGGCGATGGAATATCACTTGCATGATATTGCTGGGGGAGTCGCCAGACTACATAAGTAACTGGAATGATTTCAACAAACTCTTTCTCGCTTCAAATGCTTTCATTGCAAATTATTAGTATCAATATTTATAATTAGTAACTTCGTGGTGAGGGAAGCAAAGGCAAAGGAGCCACGATAAAAGGAAGTCGTGCGAAAGCATCAATTTCTGATGACCTCCACATGAATTAGGCTAAAGTACCTTTGAAATCATCAGAAATCTCGACTTGTACACGTAGTTTCCAGATAAAAAGAGTGGGAGAAAGTTTCCAGAATAGAGCCGGGTAAGGATTACCGCTTTACTGCAAAATGACGCAGTTTTTGGACCGCATTATCCAAACTCTAAATATATTTTTATTCTAAATTCTAAATAATTCTAAATATATAAAAGAACGCTATTTTTTTATTGTCCTCATAATAAGCCTTGTAGATGGCTTGAACATCGTAAACGCAAACGTTTGGAAGAAAAACAGCGCAGAAAAGAAAAACGAGTGGCATTGAAAGAGGCGGGTCTCGGTGAAGCTCTTAAGCGATTTCGAGGCAAGTCTATGGAGCAGTCAGCTTGCAAGGTTTGTCATCATTAGCTTCAGCTTTTTTTTCGAAAACCTGTCAATCTACTTGCAAATACTGATTTTTTCACAGATTCGTGTAGCGATCGATATGTCTTTTGACAATTTTATGTCAGAAAAGGATTGTCGTCGTGCAGTACAACAATTAAACTGGAGTTATTCAGCAAACAGGCGGCTGCCAGAGCCCCTTCAATTCTACATAACGTCTTTTGAGGGGACTAGTAGGAAAGTCAGTTCATCATTTTGTCGTCCTCCTAATTGTGTATTGAACCATGGCACGTCATTCAAAGAAAAACCTGCTTGCGTTGTGCAACAGTCGGTTCAATGCATGAACATATTTTCTATTTACCAAGGTTCAGAGGTTAAGCTAACTCTAACAGTCCCCAAATCCAGCATTATGATATCATCCATTGCCTGGAAGGCATGGAGGGTGTGAAATCGGTGTCTGCTCATGCTTCTAATTTTCTTTCATATCAGTTCGTTTCGTATGTGTGCCTGTATGTATGCACACATGTATGCATTACGTTTGCACCTTATATGAATCGATCTAAGTGTGAATCTAACTTCTGAGGTAAGATAAAGTTCAAATAAATGCCTTCGTTGTAGCAGGCGGATCTTTTCCTCTAGAGAGGCGGAGTATTCGGTAGCTATAGGTCGGACGGTTTACCTTTGCCTCCTCCTGCTATTACCTCTTTTCGATGTAATCTGCCATGGTTTCCTCATGAAG